ACTTTCTTTTTTTTTGGTCTTTTTGAGACAGGGTCTCCCTGTAGTCACAGCTGGCCTGGATTTGCTATGGAGAACAGGCTGGCCTTGAACTCACAGAGATCCGTCTGCCTCTTCCTCCTGAGTGCTGGGATCAAAGGCGTGCACCACCACACCCAGCTCAGATTATTTCTTTTTAAAAATTTTTCTTTAATGTGTTGCTGGGCGTGGTGGCACACACCTGGAGTCCCAGCACTTGGAAGGCAGAGGCAGGCAGATCTCTGTGAATTCAAGGCCAGCCTAGTCTACATAGTGAGTTCCAGGACAGCTGGGGCTACAGGGAGACCCTACTTCAAAAAGTCAAAAAAAAAAAAAAAAAGTGTATGAGTGTACTGCCTGCATGTAAGTGCACCCATGTCGTGCAGTGACTGCAGAGTAACGTTAGAAGAGCACATCAGATCCCCCAGAACTGGAGTTATGGACAGTTGTTAACTGCCATGTGGGTGTTGGCAATTGAACCCAGGTCCTCTGCAAAAGCAGCCAGTGCTCTTAACCACTGAGCCATCACTCCAGCGACCAGATTCATAACTCCTTCTCTGAGCTAGACTCATACCCAGCTGCTGATTTGTGGTCTCTTCTCTACATGGATGTCGAATAAGGCATCTGAGTTGTATCTAAAACAACATTCCTTCCCCTCAAATCTACTTGCTAACCTTTCAGGCTTCCTCTTTTTAGTAAATGCCATATCAATCACCTGGTTGCATAGTGTGTAACATTAGGTATTATCCTCCTCATACCCCATATCCAGTCCACTTAGGGTCTATACATTCTACTCAGCTGCTGTGCTCTTGCCTCTCCAGTCTAACCTATCATTAGTTCTTCCCTCCTGACTGCTGAAAAGCCTAACATTCTGCTTCTGTTCTTATCTCTACCAATCTCAACACAGCAGAGATGATTTCTAAAAATTATAAATGAGGGCTAGGGATGTAGCTCAGCTGGTAGAGTGCTTGCCTAGAATCCATGAAACCCTGGGTTCAATCTCCAGCACCATATAAACTAGAGATGGTAGTGCACACTTATAATCCCAGCACTCAGGAAATGAAGGGAGGAGGATCAGAAATTCAAGATCATCCTTCATTACACAGCAAGTTCAAGGACAGCAAGGGCTATATGAGACCCCATCTCAAAGCAGTGCACACACACACATACACAAATATATATGATGCTGGGCATGATGGTACATGCCTTTAGTCCCAGCACTTGAGAGGTAGAGGCAGGCAGATCTGTGAGAATGAGGCCAGCCTGTCTATATAGTGAGTTCCAGGCCAGCTGTGGCTACAGGGAAAGACTCTGACTCAAAAACAAAAATTTATATATATATATATGTGAACAAACACATCACATAGAACTAAAACCAAATTCTCGGCCATGGCCTCCCAGCCTCTACTTGGCCTGGTACTCTGCCCTGTCTCCTTATGCCTCTTGCCTACTCTGCTCCACTGATACTGTCTGGCTGATTCCAGAACATGCCAAGCTTGTTCCCATATCAAGGCCCTTTGTACTTGCCTATCCTCTACCCTAGGACATAGTCTTAGATCTTTCTGTTTCATTCCTTGACTCCAGGTTTCTGTTCTTATTTATTCGATGACATCTTCTCTACCTTGTTCACAGCATTCATCACTAACATATCATTCCTACCATTTGTTTACTGGATCTCCTCTTCTACAATGTCAACTCCATGAGAACAGAGTCTGGACCACCTTTGTCTATCCCCTATATGTTAGAACAGTACCTTGCATGAGGTAGGTACTCTGTATTTGTTGGATGAATACTTTCTTACTTTTTCTTTCTCCCTCTCCCTGTCCAGAGGTGATCGTGGCCTTGGCTGTCTGTGGCTCCATCCTCTTCCTTCTCATAGTGCTGCTCCTCACTGTCCTCTTCCGGATGCAGGCCCAGCCTCCTGGCTATCACCACGTTGCAGACAGAGAAGACCATGCCTGACAGCCACTCAGCCCCCATCCCTCTGCCTCCTAGGAGAGGTGGGCTAGGCTTTTGCTCCTGACTAGTGCTGCTCCCCAGCCCACAGACAGGAGGCCCTGGGTTGAACCTCCTTGATTACCTAAGCCCAAATAAAATGAGTGGGGCTCAGCTGGGCGCACGGCACCTGTCACTCACCATCCAAATGCCTGATGTTTACCATGTACTGTGTTGGACATTGGCTTTCTCCAGTTGGGATGTGCCTCCTCCATACTCCCTAAGGACCTGAGATACAGATGAGCATTCAGGTTTTACTTAGAACCTGGGATAAAAAACCTGAAGGAGCAGGTGCTTGATCTGCCTTGCTTTTCCACCAAGCCTGTTCTTTGTCACTTAGCCCAGTCTTTGACAAATGGCTCAGAGGACACTGTCTTCGCCTCAGTGCTTGCTGTAGATGAGAAACAGCACTGGGAGAATTAAAACTTGGCTGCCAAGGAACTGGACTATCTACAACCAGACAACCAAGTTTTCCTTTGGCTAAAGCCACTGTTAGTGTCAACCCTCAGCTTGGGCAGGTCTGAAAGAGATTTTTAATGTACCAAAAAGAGTGAGAGGTGGGAGTGATTCTCCCTCACCTGGGCTGGGCTTTCCAGGGACTTGTAAATGCAAGTAGCAAATTGAACACATCCTGACTGTGATCCAAAACAGGGCTAAAGTAGCTCCAAGGAAATGAAGTTTTTGACTGTGAGTGCTGGTTCTGTGCCCTTTTTTTTTCTTTCATTTCTGAGATCTAAGGAGTACTATGACAAGGTCAGTGCTAGATCTAATCAGAAGCTCATTTAGGTTTTTAGGTTTACAAAGGGCTTTACTGGCCATGTCAACAGTGAACGCAAATTAACCCTGCCCCCCGGCCCCCATCATTCTATCATCACACATCAGAAGAAAGGTACCTTTGTTCTAGGATAAGATTGGCTCCAGGCTAGACACAGCAGTGGTCCTTAGGGTAGTGGGTTTGCCATACATTTCTGGAGCAAAATCTAGAGAAGTAACATACCAGTGTCCTGGTCCCACGTGCCTCATGCCGTAAGTGTCTCTGCCCCCCGCCCTAAAATTTGGGTACTTTTGCCCCATTAGCAAACAGCTGCCTCTTTTCACAGAACTTGTTCCCGTTTGAGGGATCCAGTGTTGCTTGTTCCACATCTTTGTTGTTACTCATGTTCTTTCTGTGGCCCAGCCTCCTCCTGGCTCCAAATAAGAATATGATAACCTGGAAGGAAAAAAAGTTGGATTTGTACCTTTTGTTATCAGTCTCAGAGCTTGGGGCTGTGTGGGGAACCTGGGTTTGTTTGGGAAATACTAGCACATGTAAAGCCAATGTAAAGCCAGATAGAGGGCATAGGTCAGAGAGACCACTGTCTCCCAGGCATCTTTACTAGCTACTGCCCTGGGATGAATGCCTCCACTGGGCATTCCTGGGATGAATTCTCCTGAAGAATAAGGGTTAGGCTTAGAAGTCTGAGATACAATTGTTTCTACTCACCCATAGCAGAGGCCAGGGTGTCCCCCATAGGATTGAACTCATTGAGCTGTAAAGATAAGAATATCAGCATGAGGTTGGGATGAAGGCAGTGTAGAGGCAGAGGGCACATGGGAACTAATTTCTGATCAGAAAGGTACGTTGAATCCCTGTTTCCTCCCATCACTGAGGGCCCAAGACTCACCGAAGTGATACCAGAATATCCCGGGTCATAGAGCTGACACATCATCTTCCCCGAGCTACCATCAAACACATCTATTGTCCTTAGCTCATAGGGGATACAGCTTTTAAGGTTAGGATCTGGGTATCGGCCCACAACAATAAGGTTGTATCGTGGATGCCAGGTTGCCTGGGAAATGGAAGGGTTGGTTACAAGGGTAAAGAGAGACATTGGAAGTATAGTATTTTGGGGGGCTGTGGAGATTTGGTTCAGTTGGTAAAATGTTTGCCATACAAACATGGGGAACTGAGTCTGGAGATGAGCACTCACAGAAAAACCTTGGCACAATGCACCTGTAATCCCAGCACTGGGGAAGCAGAGACAGAAGGATCCCTGGAGCTTGCTGGCTAGCTAGTCCAGCCAAATCAGTGAGCTCCAGGTCCAATGTGAGCCCCTGTCTCAAAAAATGAGGTGGAGGTCTGGCTCAGTGATTAAGAGCACTGGCTGATCTTTCAGAAGACCTGGATTCGAATCCCAGCACCCACATGGAAGTTAACAGCTGTCCGTAATTCCAGTTCCAGGGGATCGGACACCCTCTTCTGTCCTCCACAGGCATTGCACAACACAGGCACGCTTATATACACACAGGCATTAACACTCATACACATAGTAAATATTTTTAAAATGAGGTGGAGATGGGCTGGAGAGATGGCTCAGCGGTTAAAAGCACTAGCAGCTCTTGCAAAGGACCTGGGTTCAGTTCCCAGCACCCACGTGGCAGCTAACAACTGTAACTCCAGGTCCAGGGGTAGGATACCCTTTTCTTGCCTTTGTGGGCACCAGGCACATACATGGTACACTCACATACAAACACTCATACACAGAAAAATAAAAATAAAATATTTTTCTTAAAAAAGCCTGCAAGACAAATAAGGTGAGGTTAGTTTGTGGTCAGCTGCACACATACGTAACTGAAATAGAGGGCAGAAAAAAAGGATCAAGGTCATAGAAAATGCCCACCAGGAGATTAAGGCTGGGCTAAAAAGCTCAGAAAAATAGCTTATCAAAGAGACACTAAGAAAACTCAGTGGAATTGCAGAAATGGGATAAAAGGAGCAGAGAGAAACAAAGGATTTAGGGAGTGCTTTGTGTCAGGCGAAGGCAGATCTGAGACTACAGGCTGTATTATGTGCTCCTCTCCTCAGCTTGGGAATCCAAGATCTGCTCTAATCCCACAATCACAGATCCCTTCCTCTTGTCACTCACCTTGATGGGTGTGAGGTGCTGGAAATGACGGTGAGGGTGGCAGATCAGGCTCACGGGGCAGTCCCACTGGGAGGCAGAGTAAACCCGAATCTCACTGTACTGGTCAGTAGTCAGGAGCCTGGCTCCATCAGGGCTGAAACAAGCTGATAAAGTGAAAAGCCCTTAAGCCAAAGGAGCCCTGAGCCCCTGTTACCCGGGCCTCCACAGGGTTTCTTTGGTAGGGGCGCCCTCTCTCCCTTCTAGGTAAGGGCAGGGGAGATGACTCTAGACTATAAACAGAAATATTATAGAAAATCAGCAGCCAAAGGAGTAGCCAGAGCCAGATAGGTTCCCAGACATCAGCTTGGTATATGCTATGAGGGTGGGATCAGGTAAAGGTCTACCTAGCGGCTACTGTTGAGATCGACCAGGTCTGTGAAAAAGATGAGGTTTGAGATGTCACACCTGAATTGACAGGATGCCTATGAGGCAGTGAATAGAGGAAGCTGGTTTTCCCTCTAATCTGGCGCAGGTCCCAGATTTTCACTGTTTGATCTATGGAGGCTGTGGCCAGAAGCCAATCACAGCAGGGGTTCAAGGCCACATGGGTTACTTTCTTTTTGTGCATTTTCAGAGTCCAAAGCTGTAGAGAAAAGCGTGTTCAGATAGGGACACAGAATCAAAGAGGAGTAAGGGAGAACTCGGGAGGGCCCAAGCCACATAGTACGTACCTCCTTGCCATCTGTGTTCAGCAGTATCACATGTCCTACATTGTCCCCTGTGACCAGCACTTGGCTCTTGGTAGAAACATCCAGGCTGCAAAACCAGACACTAGGGAAGAGACTGCTGTTAAAACTCTTGAGACTGAGATAGGTGTATTTAGTCACTGTTGCAGCTCCAGTGTCTAACCCAGAGTAGGCAATCAATAAGTGTATATTGAATGAGTAACTGTCTTGTTATAAATTTCCAGAAGAGCACTCAGCCTTGTCTACCACACAAAAAGAGAATGAAGGTGAGAGGGTTGAGAAATATGTCCAGTTACTGCTGGGCCCAGAATCCTCACCTGGTTAGAGTCCCTAAAACAGTCAAACTTCAGAGCCACAAAGCAAATCCTAGGGCAAGCTTGCTCCCCACAGCCCAAGTTCTGAGGAAACCTTGTTTACTGTTATTTCCCCTATTACCCTCCATCTTTTGGGTCAAAGGAAATGACAAACCAAACAGGAACTGTCCAGCTCAGTCCTCACAGCTAGCTAGAGGTGAACTTCTGCCCCCTTCTGAGCATTTAGGGGAAATGCAAATAGAAGCAGAAACCCTTAGCACTTGAAAACTACTTGAAAATAGACTAGAATAGAGGAGGGTGCTTCATGGATCCTGATCCATAGCCAAGAGAACTTCAAGACCCATTCAGTCACCTCTCCTGATGGCTGGTGTGTTTCTCAGCCATGTGGGGCAGCCCAGAATAACACCCAATGTTAGTTAGACCCCATGATCCTTAGGGAACAGAATCACGTTTTTTTTCTTACTTAATTTTATTATTTTATGTGTATGCGTGTATTGCCTGCATGTATGTAAGTGCACCCGTGTCGTACAATGCCCGCAGAGGACAGAAGAGGCTGTCAGATCCCCTGGAACTGGAGTTATGGACAGTTGTTAGTGGCCATGTGTGTACTGGGATTTGAACCAGGGTCTGCTGCAAGAACAATCAGTGTTCTTAACCGCTGAGCCATCTCTCCAGCCCCTCAGAATCATGTTTTTGACTAGAAATCAAAGTGACTTCCATTTTGTAATTTTCCCAGCTGAAACAAGGTCTCACAACATAGCCCTGGCTGGCCTAGAACTCAAAAAGATCCATCCACCTGCTTCTGCCTCTACAGTCCTAGGATTAAAGATATGCACTACTATATCCAGCTAATAAAACTTCGGTTCTTGCCGGATGTGGTGGTGCACGCCTTTAATCCCAGCACTTGGGAGGCAGAGGCAGGCAGATCTCTGTGAGTTCAAGGCCAGCCTGGTCTACATAGTGAGGTCCAGGCCAGCTGGGGCTACAGGGAGACTGTCTCAAAAAGACCAAATTAAAAAAAAAAAAAACCTTCAGTTCTTAATTCCTGCTGGACTCTGTAAGTGGCTTTCTAAACCAATCTATCCCCTGTTGATTTGTCCTGTGAAAGTAAAGGTCTAGTCTAATACAGGCATGACTTACAGAAGCCATTAAGCCCTTCCTTCAAGGACAAGAGCTGGGGCTCCAGAACACCTTCCCAATGCACTAACACATCAGGAACAAAGAGAGCAGCCAGAGTCTGAGGAAGAAAGGTGCAGTGGGAAAAGGCTCCCTTTCTTCCCATGCTAGCCCTCAATAAAAGAAATGGGGCTGGATGTTGTCACCAGAACTGCCATCTATAGCTTAGCCCTTTCCCTTACTAGTTAAACTACTCACTTGCAGGAGTTTGAGCTGGTAAAAACTCGGAGAATGTTGCCTTTAAAATCTTGCAGCCTGGTTGTTCCCTCCATTGAGCAGGCAAAAAACTGGTTGGTATTCAGCTGGTTAAACTTCAACGCAGTGATGCTTCCTCCAGCTCCAATCTAACAAGGAAAAAAGTCAATGAGTGATGATGGGCTGGAAGCAAACATGACCTTAGTAAACATATGGCACTCAAGCAGAAGCACCAGGCACCAGGGGCCAGGCCAGCTTAGATACCTGACATTAGTCTGTTCTTTATTTATTTTTGTCTTTTTGAAGCAGGGTCTCCCTGTAGCTGCAGCTGACCTGGAACTCACTATGTAGACCAGGCTGGCCTTGAACTCACAGAGATCCACCTGCCTCTGCCTCCCAAGTGCTGGGATTAAAGGCATGTGCTACCACGCCTGGCTATTTGTTTTTATATTTTATTATTTTTATTTTATGTGTATGAATGTATTGCCTGTATGTATGTGAGTGCACCCGTGTCATGCAGTGCCGTGGAGGTCAGAAGAGGGCATCAGATTCCCCTGGAACTGGAGTTAAGGACAGTTTGTAGCTGCCATGTGGGTGCTGGGAATCGAACCCGGGTCCTCTGCAAGAGCAGTCTTAACTGCTGAGCCATCTCTCCAGCCCCTGTTCTTTATTTTTTAAGGCTTTATTTTGACTTTTGTATTTTCCATTAAGATACAGTAAATATGACTGGTTTTGGGTATACAGTTCTGTGAATTTTAACACATACATAGATTTGAATAGCTACCACCAAAATTAAGATGAAGAACAGTTTTATCAACCCCATAAAAATCCCTCATGCTTTCCCACTCAACCATGTCTTCTCCCTTACACTCAACCCCTGGAAACCACTACTCTGTTCTCTATCACTATGATTGGGCCTTTATAGGAACACATATAAATGTACTAGTCTCCAACCTTTTTTAAATTTTATTTATCATTTTTAAAATTATTTATGTGTTTATGTGTGTATTGCCTGCATGTAGGTAAGTGCAATGCCCATGGAGGTCAGAGGAGGCTGTCAGATTCCCTGGGACTGGAGTTATTGACAGTTGTTAGATGCCATATGGGTGCTGGGATTCAAATCCGGGTCTTCAAGAACAACCAATGTTCTTAACCACTGAGCCATCTCTCCAGCCCCGGTCTCCAACCTTCTGAGGCTACTTTCTTCTGAGATTGATCTAGGTTGTTGTGTGTGCCAACAGGTCTTATTACTGAGAAGTATTCCACTATACAGATACACCACGGTGTGTTGTTTTTAGAAGCGCTTCACTTTAGAAAACTGACTGGGTTAGGAGGGCAGGAAACATCTGTGTTCTTTCTTAGTCTTCCAGACATTTTACGCAGTGATGATGAAACTGGTAGAGACTGGAGGTATAGTGAGTGTTGGAGCACTTGAGTAGTATACACCAGGCCCTGGGTTCATCCCAAGCAACACACACATATCACAAATTAAAAAATTTTAAAAATCAGTAAAAAGGGAGAATAATAACCATCATAACACCTATGGCCTAGCCTAATTAAGTGCTTATAGGGGGGCTAGAGAGATGGCTCAGCAGATAAGAGCATTTGCTGTTCCTCTAGAGTATGGTTACCAGCACCTATATAGGTGTATACAACTACCTGTAACTCAAGCTCTTGGGGAATCCAATGCCTTCTTTTGGCCTCTGCAGGCACCCATACACATGGCATATACTCAGACATAACACACACACATAAATAAAGATAGTCATTTTTTTTGTCTTTTTGAGACAGGGTCTCTCTATAGCCCCAGCTGGCCTGGAACTTGTTATGTAGACTAGGCTGGCATTGAACTCACAGAGATCTGCCTCCCAAATGCTGAGATTAAAGGTATGCGCCACTGTACCTGGCTCTATAGCATAGTCTAACCAGTGTCCATGGTTCATGGTGATAGTAAATCTACTGTTCTCACCAGTTGAACAGGCTTCACTACTATTCCATGCCAGGACATCATCACTGTCCCTGTACCCCTTACCTGTGTGCTAGAGCCCTCTTTACCCTGTGTGGGCCCTGACTTTATTGCTAAGCCACTACCTGATACTACCTGTACTGATGCCCATCTCAACTTAACTGACTCCAGGAACTTCTGACCCCAGGCCACTGTGGCCTCCAGACTATATAACTGTCTGTCTCTCTTGCCTGACTCTACCTAATGACTTTTGGGTTGAATTATGTAGAAAAGTAAAGGAATAGAAGGAAAAGAAGGAAGGGATGTCAATCCTGAACTCTTACTGAAAAAAACAGTAAATAATTTTCAAGTTTCTGTGGTATCACCTTGATACTCAAATCTGACAAGAACTTTTAACAAAAGAAAAATTACTGGGAAAATTTACACAAGAACACAGATGTAAAAATCCTGAACAATAATAGCAAACTAAATAAAGTGATATTTTAAAAGATTAAATACATTATGACTAAGATGGATTTATTCAAATAAGGTAGTTGGTTTAAATATTAAAAATTAGTCAAGCCAGGCATGGTGGCATGTGCCTGTAATCCCAGCACTTGGGAAATAAAGGCAGGAATCCATGGTTAGCCTGGGCTACATGAGAACAAACAAAATTTAATCAGGTATGAAGGAAACAACTGCAAGTGAAAGAAGCAACCTATACAATGGGAGAAAATATTTCAAGTCATAAATTTGAGAAGAGGTTAATATCCACAAAAACTCTTGTAACCCCCAAAATGTAACTAAATCACCAATAAAACCCCACAAATAAAGAACATGAATAGATATTTCTCCAAAAAAGACACACATATGTCCAACAAGCACATAAAAAGGTACTCAACACCATTTTTACTGAGAGAGGTATAAAGGAATCCACGATGGGTTATCACCTCACCCCTTATAATGGCCACTGTCAACAGAACAGAAATAACTAGTGGTGGTGAAGAGGTAGAGAAATTGGAATCCTTGTGCACTCTTGATGGGACCATAATGTAAAGATGGTACAGCCACTACTGAAAACAGTATTGGGGTTCCTTTAAAAATAGCACTTAACAAGCTGGGCATGGTAGCGCATGCCTTTAATTCCAGCACTCGGGAGGCAGAGGCAGGAGGATCTCTATGAGTTCAAGGCCAGCCTGGTCTACATAGTGAGTTCCAGGACAGCTGAGGCTACAGGGAGACCCTGTCTCAAAAAGATAAAAAAAAAAAAAAATAGCATTAACAACGAAAAAAATAGCATTAACAGAACTGGAGAGATGGTTCAGTGGTTAAGAGCCTGTATTGCATGCAGGTCGTACACTTACACAGACAGGCAAAACACTTGTATGCATAAAATAATTTTTTTTAAAAATTAAAAACAAAAAACAGCAAGGAAAGGACTAAAAATTGTTCTTTGGCCAGGCGTGGTGGTGCACGCCTTTAATCCCAGCACTTGGGAGGCAGAGGCAGGCGGATCTTTGTGAGTTTGAGGCCAGACTGGTCTACATAGTGAGTTCCAGGACAGCTGGGGCTACAGGGAGACCCTGTCTCAAAAAAAAAAAAGACAAAAAAATTGCTCTCTGACCTCCATACATGTACATGCCAAGGCACGTGTGGCATGTACATGCCCACAACTCACATACACATCATACACAAAATTTTTTGAGACAAAGTCTCACTATGTAGCCCTGTCTGGTCGGAACTCACTATATAGACCAGGCTGGCCTCAAAGTCAGAGATCTGCTTGTCTCCTGAGTGCTGACATTAAAGGCATGTGCTGCTATGCTTGGCAGTAAGTTTCTTTAAATTAAGGATAAAAAAGCTGGGCATGGTAGCGCACACCTTTGATCCTAGCACTTGGGAGGTAGACTCAAGGGATCTCAGCGAGTTCAAGGTCAGCCTGCTCTACAGAGTGAGTTCCAGGCCAAAAAAAAAAAAAAAGATAAAACAGACCAGGGTATATATCTCCTGAAGACTGACACCTAAGGTTGACCTTTGGCTTTCACATGCACAGACACACATGTGCATAAGTACCTATATACACACCCACATACATATACTCACACATGTATTCATGTACATACACACAAAACCACATATATATATATATGAGAGAGCGATTGAGATCTTATTAGAGGCTCAAATGATCCTCCTGCCTTAGCCTTCAGGTTGTTGGGATGACACACATATAAACACCATCTCACCTGGCTTGAAAAGAAAATATTAATTTATTTATTCATTCTGTTGTGTGTATATGTGTATATGAGTGTTTGAAGATGTGCTGGTACATGTACACATGCATGCAGAGGCCAGAGGTTGATGGTGGTTGCCTTTGATTGCTCTCATATTGAGGCAGAGTCTCTCACTTGACCCCAGTTTGCTGATTCTGTTCTGGGGATCTTGTCTCTGCCTCACAAGGCTGGGATCACAGGTGGGCTGCCACGACACCTGCTGGGGATATGAACACCTGTCCTCATTTTGGCACAGCAAGCACTTTACCCACTAAGGCACCTCCCAAGCCCTTAAGCAAGAAATGTAAAACTTCAGATAAATTATGACAATAAATATAGACTTCTGCTTCTAGCCATGCTGGTGTCAGAAATCAAATATGCCTCCTGTTTAAACACTACAAAACAAACAAAATACATAAAACACGTTTAAAACCCTGGACTATAAGCAGATAAGAGGGAAAAGTAATGGGGTTGGCCTGCAACTGCGTCGGCCTACTGCTTGTAGAGTGTAACCAAGCCAGGGAGGAAGGAACAGTAGCCTCCAAGTCTTGGTGAGCTGAGTAGAGAGGCTAACTACATGGAAGAGTGCTGGGAGGCAGACGCAGAGATAGCAGTCCAGAGACTTTCCCATGGGCCCCGTCTATTCTTTGGCTGAGTAATAATACATAAATGTATGAGGAAATTACTCAATGTTGGAGAAAATAAAAGCACCAGAGGGGCTGGAGAGATGGCTCAGTGGTTAAGAACACTGGTTGCTCTTGCAGAGGACCTGGATTCAATTCCCAGCACCCACATAGTGGCTAACAACGGTTTGTAACTTCAGTTCCAGGGGATCTGATGCCCTCTTCTGACCTCTGCAGGCATTGCACAACATGGGTGAACTTACACACAAACAGGCAATATATTCATACATATAAAAAATAAATATTGAGGG